TTAATTCCATTTTCAAGTCCTGGGTTGGATTGTCTGAATCATTTCCATCAGCCTCATGTTTTTATTTCTCTCTCTCTTTTTTTTTGCACAAGGCTTATGGGGGGTGCATATCACTCAGGTATTTTTCTCCTTATCTCTCTTTAATTTCTTTTGAGCAGTTTCTTTGTGTCTTCTATAAAGTTCTTTGATGTTTATGATTGTTCTTTTAAATTCTTTATTCATTTAGGTAGCTCTCATTGGCAAAAATTTCTACAAGAGAAGTATTAAAGAGGAGATAATTGGCTTGATCTTTCAGATAATTGGTATTTTTGTGATGAGATCTGGGCATGTGACCTTATTTTGTCTGATATTATGTGAGCAAGTTAGGGAAGGAGAAGATGGGTGGGCAGCCTGGACCTAGAGTTTGGAAATGGCTTGAGTGAAGTGAAGCCAGGTGTAGAGAGGAGAACTGGGATGGTGTACAAGACGTGTCTCCTGCTCCAAGCCTGGAGTGTGAGGGTAGATCTGGCTAGGTAGAATAGTTGAATACGGCATGAGGAACAGCCATGAGTTGAGGTATAGGTAGGGGGGATTCTGGCAGAAGTCAGGGCACTTGGATATAGGACCCAGACAAGATATGGTGGGTTTGGGATATGGTATAGATGGGGAGGTCAGGGAAACCCACTGGGCTGGATACTAGAGAAGGAGGCAGGAAGTATGGCTGGATGTAAAGACTGGATGAGGCACAGAAGAAACCTGTAGACGATGGCAGGTAGAACAAGTCTTGCTGGAAGCCTAGAGGGAGTCTTAGATGTTGATTGCAGTGCAGGCTAGGGACACAAGACTGGGCTAGGTCATTGAATGTGAGACCCTGGCTAGATTTGGTGGGTTAAAGAGAAGGCATATGGATGGGAAGTCAGAGAGACTCAACCTGGCTAGACCATGGAGAAAGATGGGCTATCTGGCTGGGCGAAGAGGTTAGATGTGGCACTGAAGAGACTTCTATTTATATATTGTTAACATTAGTGGTGTTAAATGTGTAGCTAACAAAGATTCTTCTCCTATTCTTTAGACTCATTATTCAATTGTTTCCTCAATTGCAGAAACTTTTGAACTTCATGCAACCCCATTTGTCAGTCCTGGCTTTACTTCCTGACCAATAATCCTTCCCAGAAAGTGACTATCTAAATCCATATCTTGAGGTGTTGCCCTCTTCTTCTCTACCTGTCATCACCCACAAGTTTCTTCTAACAGCTGCAAAGTTGTGCTTTTTTTTTACTATTTTAATAATAATTTCATTAATCCTTTGGAAATTTTATGCAATGTATTTTGATTGTATTCACCTTCTTTCTCAAACTGCTCCAAGATCCACCCCCACATTCCCAACTTCATGTTCTCTGTTTTTAGCCCAGGGAGTCAAATATGTAATGTCCAATTACTCATGGGTATGCAGCCTTCCCTGGAGCGTGGTTTACCTTCCAGAAATCACACTTAAACAAAACTGGCTCTCCTGTCCTTCCCCTACTAGCTATCAATTCTCAATAGTTTCTCAACTAGGGGTGGGACTTGGTGCCCACCCCAGCCCACTCACCCACCATACCTCTATGCTGGAATCTTGTCTGGCTTGAGCTCACACAAGACTTGTTCATGCTGCCACAGCTGCAATGAATTCACACATGCAGCTTCTTGTCAGTCATCCACCAGGCCTTCTACTTCCTCTTCTGCAAGGGGCCTAATCCTTGAATAGAGTGTGATATAAATGTCCTGGTTATGCTGAACACTCCTCAGAATGTCTAACATTATGGTCTAATGTTTCAGATTTTCACATTTTTGCATAAACTATTATGACTTGTACAGAAGAAAAGGTTTCTTTCTAACCATCTTGGTTTTTATTTCTTAGGTCTCTGATAATGAGAAAGAAAAGAACAAACATTGAAGTATTTTTTACATACATATTTTCCACACAGGTGGTACCCAGCAGATGAATAATTTTCACAAAGCTATCTTAAAACTCTGGCTTGCAGAGAATTTACAGAAAAAAAAAAAACCCTGTCAATTTTAGAAAGGAAGGAGTGAGAATCAGATATGCCACAAGGGGATAGCAAAGGGATAGAATGACCATATAGATTCTCTAAAAGCAGATGTGCCACAAGGGATGATGAACCATATATTCTCTCTGCTTTCCCCAGGTGAACACTTTGTCCTCTTTGTAGGGGAAAAGGCACCTTTATGATTTAAACCCTAATTTGAGGCAAACAAAGGGCTGGGGACTTTGTTTTCCTTACCCCTCTTACATTCTCCTGTTCTCCGTTGTTAGCACAAATTAATTCTACTACTGAAAAGATGGCTTGCAGCATCAAATCCTGGTGTCTTAGAGCACCTACATGCACAAGTTTTTATGTAGACATGTTTTCATTCCCTTTCGATAGGTGCCTGAGAGATGGGGCACGTTACAGACTGGTAGCACTCTATTGCTTCCTCCTTAAAGTTTGTGTGTAGTAATGATGAGCTAACAATGAATACCATAGAGATCTATTTCCTGAGTGCTCACTACTTGTTCTGGTCCAGTAGGGAAAACAGACAAGTTTTTGTAATAAATTGAATTGAGTGTTTAGATATTGACTAGTATATATTAACTATATAATAATGATTTTAATGACATTTTCATGCATCTATAATGTGTTTTTATTATATTCCCTTCTTATTACCCTCTCTTGTCACCATTCCACTCCTGATAACTTTTCTTTACGTGTGTGAGCATGCGTGTGTGCGTGTGCACGTGCGCGAGCATGCGTGTGCGTGCGTGTGTGATGATATTTAGTGAAGATTATTCAATATATGCTTACTCTTGGCACTTGAACCACTTACAAATTGCTTTAGTAGCAACTACTCACTGTAAAAAGTTTTCTCTGACCAAAACTAACATTGCTAAACTAGGCATTAACATTAGATGTTTAGGAAACCACTGACAAGCACATTGCGTCAATTTGACCAAATAATACGAATGGCTTCCTCATGAGGGTCTATGTCCTCCCAACCCACAGGCCTTTGACCAGGGTTACAACACAAGATTTAAATTTCTTCCTGTGAAGAATCAATCAGAAAGCAGAAATGGAGATGTGGCTTAGTTTTTAAGACCACTTGCTGCCCTTCCAGAGGTCCTGAGTTCAGTTCTCATCACCTACATCTTATTGGCTCACACCATCTGTAACTCCAGCTCCATGGGAGCTGATACTTCTGGCCTATGTGGGCATCTGGACATAACCACATTCAGACACACACACACACACACACACACACACACACACACACACATACATAATTTAAAATAATTATAAAATATTTTAAAATCCCAACCAGAAAGCATTGATCTTTTGCCTCTCGAACAGGCATGCTATTATTGCACCAGTGACACTGCCTTGGCAAAGCATTATTGAGGTGGTCAGGACACAGCTGAGTAAGACCACTGATGGTGATTCTCCCCTAGCACTTACATCATAGAACTCTCCAACACTAGGAAAGTAAGCTCCAAGCAGGGAGTGAGTTTCCAGGTGTTTGTCAGTTAGATTTCTATCTTGCCACAAATGTGTTGTGTCTTGTGTCTTGTGTCTAGCTCTGGTTAGCATCCAAGAGTAGCGGCAATAAATTTGTGCTAATTCAGAAGGATCTGAAGCCTCATGGCCAATACCTTACAAGTAAGAAACACACTTATAACACTAAAATTCATTCAATCATATGCATTGAAGTTTTCTATAGTATTTTAAAAATAATATCTGTGTAGCCCAAGTTGGCTTAGAATTTGCTATCAGCTGAGGTTCATCTTGTCCTTCTGCCTCAGCCTCCCCAGTGATGAAATTATGACCATGAAACAACCCAGGTTGCATTGAGTTTGAATATAGAAAATATTTCTTACAACAACTCCCCATATTATCTGACTTGACAAGAGAGAGATGTGTACTCTTGTTATTTGCAATTACAGAAATACTGGGGGAAGACATCACAAACCTGAGAAAAGCTAAGAAGGTTTTGGAAGGAGAAAAGTTAGGTGTGATGAAAATAGAAAAGAAATTGCCTCAGGAACAAAGAAGATGAACAAGAGGGAGACTAAGAGTATAGAGGAATGTTTTGTGTACTTATGTGAATAAATACATGTATGAAAATTTGAGGTATGGTATGTACATGAGCATGCACACACCCATGCATGCCCATAGAGAAGCCAGAAATTGGTATTAGGCATATTCCTCTAGCATTCTCTACCTTAACTTTTGAGATAGGGTCTCCCATTGGCTCTGGAGCTCTGACTGGCCAGACTGTCTGACCATCAAGCCCCAGGGGACATGGTTGTCCACCAATCCCACCTTGATAGCACTAAGGTGACAGGTACATAACACTAGGCTTGGTTTTTGCATGAGTGTTAGAGACTGAACTCAGGTTCTCATGCTCGTGTGGCAGATACTTTACCAAGTGAACCATCTCCCCAGCCCCTTTAAAACCCTTTAAAATGAGAATTTTAAAGGGTAAAAAAGGAACTGAACCATTCCAAATAAAGAGATCATTTTCCCATCAAAGCAATTTCCTCTGTTTATTTCCTCAGACTAAAATAAATAGGGGCTGGAGAGATGGATCAGCAGTAAGAAATGCATACTGTTCTTGCAAATGATCTGAGTTTGGGTTCCAGCACCCATATCATGCCATTCTCAACCACCTGTAACTTTAGCTCCAGGGAATCCAATGCCCTCTTTTGGCATGTATGTGCACTCCACGTGTGTATCCATGTCCCCCCCACACTCATATACACATAATTAAAGTTTTTTTCATTATTTGAAATTGGACTCTTTTTTAAAAGTACATTTGCATAAGAAAACAAGAGTTATGAATCCTATCTTGCTGATTTAAACCTGGATTGAAGTTGGTCTTTAGAGCTGTGTTCCTCATTCTCCTTTCTACTTGATACAAGATAATTTTTCACAATAACCAACTATGTTCTATCTATCCCTCACTCCCTATCACTGATGGTAAAGAGCACAAGCATAAGAAGGAATGGAACAAAGTATTCAGAAATAAATGGAAGTTTAACTTCTGGCCTAAATGCAAGGAAAACTTATACGTGGAGACTGAGAGCTACAGAACACTCGTGACATTGTGTAATCCGAAGGCGACAATGCCATTTGCTCATGCAATAGTGCTGCATGGCCCTCCAGGCTCTGGCAAAACCACAGTGGCAAACAGGCTAATGCTGCAATGGTCAGAGAGCAAGCAGGCCCAGATGTTCCCATGTGCCTTCTCCATCAGCTGCAGGGAAGTTAATGTTACTAATTCTTGCACTTTTGCACAGCTCCTTTCCCTGAAAAATGACCACTGGAGGGATTATGTGAAGTCCCTAGATCTGGCAGAAAATTTCTTGTTTGTGGTGGATGGTTTTGATGAGCTGAGAGTCCCAGCAGGAGCTCTGCTCCAAGACATCTGCAGTGACTGGGACACAGAGAAGCCTGCAGCTGTCCTGCTGAGCAGTTTGCTCAAGAGGAAAATGGCACCACATGCCACACTTCTGGTGACCACACAGACACAGGCTTTACGGCAAATCTACCTCATGATAGATCAGCCCTTCCTTATAGAAAACCAGGGCTTCTCAGAACAGGATATACAGGAATACTTTAAAAGATTCTTTAAAGATGAAGAGGTTCGTAATGAGGATGACGGCAGTGAGGACGACAGCAGTGAGGAGGAAGAGGGCGAGGAGGAGGACAGTGACGAGGAGCAGGATAGTGATGATGATGATGACAGTGATGAGGACAATGATGATGAGGAGGCCAGTGTCAAGGAGGATGAGGAAAAGGCACTTAGAGCTCTCAATGCATTGAGGTGCAATGCTGCTCTCTTCCACATGGCCTCAATTCCTGCTGCATGTATGATATTCTGCCTCTGTCTGGAGAAAGTGATGGAAAAGGGAGAAGACCTTGCTCTGACATGCCAGTCGCATACCTCTATGTTCCTGAACTTCCTCTGCAGGATGTTCTCACCAGAAACCTATGAACGCCATCTCAAAAAGGAATTCCAAATCTCATTCAAGAAAACATGTTTCCTGGCTGCTGATAGTCTGTTGGAACAGCTGCCCACATTCTCTAAAGAAGATATCTTGAAATTACAGCCAGACATGAAAGGACTGCACCCTTTTGTATGCAGGTACATTATCAATAATGACAGTTACAATAATAGCTGCTCCTTCATCTACATCAGAATCCAGCAGCTTCTGGCTGCCATAGTATTTGTTCAGGAACTCGAGAAGAGTGTCTCTAAATATAGTATGCAGAATATGCTTTCTAAGGAAGCAAGATTGAAAAACCCCAACCTGTCGGGAGTGCTACTGTTTGTGTTTGGCCTCTTGAATGAAACTCGAATTCAAGAGTTGGCAACCATTTTTGGTTGTCAAATATCAATTTCGGTCAAGAGGAAATTCCTGGAGTGTGAGTCAGGGAAAAATAAACCCTTTCTATTACTGATGGATGTACAAGATATTTTATCCTGTCTCTATGAATCTCAGGAGGAGGGGCTTGTGAAAGAAGCCATGGCCCTCCTTGAGGAAATATCCTTGCATTTGAAAACAAACATGGACCTCATGCATGCTTCATTTTGCCTCAAGAATTCTCAAAATCTGCGGACAATGTCCCTGCAAGTGGATAAGGGCATCTTCCCAGAGAATGATGCTGTATTGGAGTCTACAGCTTGGCATCAAGGGTAAGAATGCTGTTTTCCTTCCTGGCTTCTTAACAGTGCTTGTGTCCTCCATCTCATCCCATGTGTTTGCAATAAGGGGTTGAAGTCTCTCATTCTCCTGTAGCTCAGGGTAGGACATTTTATACCTTCTGGACTTCCTAGTTAATAATAAAAGTGAAAATGATGGCAGGATTAAGGATGCCAGCCTAAAATTTAAACATCTTGAGACCTATGGCTGCTTCTCTTTTGGTAAGCAACTCTTTTATTACTTTCCTTATACCATATTTTTACACAATATTACTTGATTCTCCTGCCTCTATGCCCACCATCTCACTGCCCACCACCTATGTTTAAACACTTTCATTTATGGGTATCCCCACATCCACTTTTATATCACATGAAGTTTTATTAAATTTATGTATGTGTATGGAGAAGTCAGAGGGTAACTTGTTCTCAGAGGAAAGCAGGTCTCTACTTGAACTATGTGTATCCTAATAATTGGGTTCAGCAGGCTTGGCATCAAGTTGCTTTTTCAAGTGAATTATCCTGCCTGTTCTTATATTACTCTCTCATCCTCTCCTTTAAAACCCTTTTTGTTTACCCACTCCTGGGTCATTTTCTAATTTTCTTAAGTATGAAATACCATTAGCCATCATGGAAATGGAAATGAAAGGTATATTGAGGGCCTGAAGAGAAGTTAAGAACACTTAACTGGTCTTCAAGAGGAGCCGAGTTCAATCCCCAGCACCTTCATGGTGCTTATAATGGTCTATAATTCCAGTTCTAGGATGATCTGGTGTCCTCTTCTGGCCTCCATGAGTGCTAGGCATGTACATGGTACATAGACACACATGTAGGAAAAACACTCACACACATGAATCATAAATCTTTAAGTCCATAATTCTGCCTTAACCTGCCCTCACCTTGTACGTTTCTCAGTCTTAAGTACTATTTCAATACTCAAGTTGTCTTTTTTAATTGCTATATATGATAAAACATTCAGTATTTTCCCTTCTGGTTCAATTTACTTCACTTTACATAATGTCTTCTAGTTCCCTGTGCTACGGAAAATGACTATATTGCATTGTTCTGTAAAGAAAAATTGAACCATAGTAATTTCAGGAAATGGATGGAATTGGAAATTACTAAGCCAAGAAGTCAGATTCAGACAAATACTGTGTTCTCTCTAAAGAACTAATTCTAGATTTTAATTATTGTATTTTGTATTTTTGTATATGTGTATATAACTTTACACACACACACACACACACACACACACACACACACTGAAAGTTAAGTTATGAAAGTACAAAAGACTGTACTGATTGATTTTCATGAAGTGAACACAAACTGCAGGCACCTGGGAGAAGAAAACATAAATTGAGGTATTGTCTCCATCAGGCTGGCTTGTAAGCAAGCCTGTGGTACACTTTATTTTGGTTCATATTGATGTGGGGGAGGTCCCAACTCACTGTGAGTTGTTTCATTCCTGAGCTGGTAGTCCTAGGTGATATTAGAAATCAGGTTGAGCAAGACAGTTAGAAGTATTCCTCCAGGGTCTGTTTCTGCCTTTAGCTTGTCATGTACTGTGATCAGGAAGAAAAAAGCAAAATCAACCCTTGACTCTACCTGTTGCTTTTGGTCATGGTGTTTAATCACAGCAGCAGAGAAGCAAGACAGACCAGGTGTCATGGGATGGAAAGATATCTTACCAAAAGAAATTTAGGTCATAAAACATATGTTTCATGAAGACATAAGGGAACTGTGTAGAAGTAAAGGGGACCAGAAAGAAGCAGGCAGGAGAGTAGAGTAGAACCAGTAAGGACAAAGTATAGGAAAAATGTTGTAACAACCGTCCTTTGGATGCTGAGAGGAAAGATGAATGTCAAGTACTTTTGTAGAAAACTGTGGGCATGGTTCAGTCCTTAAGCTCAATCCTTAAATCACTTAGAGTGAGGCAAGTAGGAAGACCTGAGTTTAGACTGCAGAACCCACACAAAAACACAAGGGAATGCATGACTGGAATCTCAGCCATAGCAAAGTGGACACAGGTGGATCCCTGGAAGCTTATGTCCCGATTGCCTGCTCTACTAGTTGAAATGCCAAACCCATGAAAAATTCTCCCTCAAGCAAAAGATGCCTGAGGATTTAGGGGGCATGTGAGCACACTTGAATACACATAGAAATGAAAATTACCTCTTTTTGTAGGTCTCAGAATGACCAATGCCTGCTAACTTTCTGGACAGACTTTTGTGACATGTTTAATTCAAATGAGAAACTTGTTTTTCTGGACATCAGCGAGAGCTTCTTCAGCAGCTCCTCATTGCAGATTCTTTGTGACAAACTGTCCTCTTCTGCCTGCCATCTCCAGAAAGTAATGTAAGTAGGATCTGATCTCCAGAGAAGATACCCCTAGCATAGAATCAAAGTGCTCACACTTTAGTACTAGAAGAAATTCTCAAACTCGTATCCCAGACTCCAACCAGGTACCTAAGATACAGAATTTAGGTGGTCATGCCCTCAATTTTGCCTAGAGAAGAATCCTGAAGTATCTTCAATATAATGCAGGATATAGTTTTTGATGTCTGCAAACAACCATAAGAAAAGTAATCAAGATCCCTAGGCAGTTTGAGTCCTACTGTGGCAACCATTAGTCTCTAAGAAGAACCGAGTCCCAAACTCTTTTGGCACTTGAGCTATCTATGTTGGAGGAGGAAGGTTGATTTGTGCATTGTAGAATGGTGAGCAGTGTCCCAGACCTCCACATGTCAGATACCAACAGCACTTCCTTCCTCCAGTCATGAGATACCTCAGTATCTGCAGCTATCATCTAGTGCCCCAGGGGCTGCAACATCGTGGCAGGCTGGTGTAGAGAGATAGAGAGCAATGTGCCTATGGCATGAACTTGGAAAGACAACTGGGTAAGGTGTGTGTGTCCATTTTTAATGACATATATGTAAATGAATGAAATTGGACTGAAAGGTGTCAGGTTAAAATATAGGCAGGGGAAAGGTACATCTGTAACTTAAATGCATGAGTGCAGAATGTGGAAAACTTTTCAGTCTTCCTTGATGTTCATTTGTGGATTCTGTGTCTAGAAGGCTTAAATCTAGAAAGATGTGAGTCATAAGGGTTTCAGGGAAATTTCCTTAATTTTACATTATGAGACTTTTCTCTGCATATATGTATATTCATCATGTGATTGCCTAGTGTCAATTGGAGATCAGAAGAGAACATGGGATCCTCTGAAACTAGAGTGACAGACAGTACTGAGCCATCATGTGGGTACTGGGAAATAAACCTGGATCTTCTGCAACAGTAACAAGTGCTCTTAACAATTGAGCCATCTCTCTGACACATATTTTTCTTTCTTGATGTATAAGAATAAGAGCCCTCATCCAATAAGGATGGCACTGGACATGCAATCTGATTCTAATTACAGTAGAGCACCTCACAGTTTTCCAACAGACAGTGTTTGTGTAAAGGGGCCCACTGGTAACACCCCAAAGAAAATGGATGTTGCCGCTTTCTTTCCCCTAATCCAAAAAAAAGAGATGGCTTTTGTGTGGAAAATGGCTTGTGACTTACTCTCCTTTTATAGATGTTAGAAATCAGTAAAGAAACCAGGACTTCAGATAGTTTCTGAATAGAAATGTTGGTCAATGAAACAAAGCTTTAGTTGAGATGAGTAAGATCTGGAAATAGCATATGCTGTAATGTCACTCTAGTAGCTATATCATGATATAGTCCATCTTTGCTGAGAAGAGTGTTGGTGAATTGGAGAAGATGGTTTAGAGACAAGGTCTTACTATGTAGCCCTGACTTTCCCACAACTTCTCTGTAGACCAAGTTGGTTTCAGACTTCTGACAATCCACTTGCTTCCTGTGTGTTGGTATTATAGACCTATGCCACCACACATGGCAGGAGAGCATGGGTCTTCCATGTTTTCTCACACAAAACAGAAAATGGCTTATTTTACACAATATGACCTTGAGTTACATCCACTTTTGTAACACTATCTCCAGGGGATCTGATGCCCCCTTCTGGACTCTGAGGGAAGCTGCACTCACATGCATATACCTACACACATACATAAACAGACACACACATAATTAAAAATGTCTTTTAAAAATAAATCCTGTAGAGAGAATATCATATGGTTGCAATAAAAAGGAGCATCTTGCCCAAAATCAGCATGTTTCTAGATCATTTCTGAGGTGTAGGATTTTAGCTGTAACGTTGAAAAATGGTAGATGCATGAGATGATGGATATGATAATTGGCATGATTGGATCAATCATCTCACAAAGTATGCATGTACCAAAACAATTCTGTATGGCTTAAATGATTTTTTGTTGTTGTTGTTAAAAATGCCTTGAAGAAGAATGGGGTGTTTTAATGTATGGGGAAGGTAAAATGTAAACATACTGCATTCCTTTGTTTCTATATATCTATAGTAGAGGTATAGAAAGTCAAAATCCCATCTCTTTAGGAATGTTTATTACTTTATTATTTTATGGAAAGGCATGTGATGTATATATTTGTGTGAATGGAGGCAAGAGGATAATTTTCCAGAATTGGTTCTTTCCTTTGACTATGTTGGTATCAAACTGAGGTTGATAGTTTTGGTGGCAAGTGCCTTTATTTACTGAGCTGTCTCATCAGCACTCAAGATCTCCTATCTGTATTCTTTTCCTCAGCCTCAAAAATATCTCCCCAGCTGATGCCTACAAGAAATTGTGCCTCACTTTTTATGGTTATGAAACCCTCTCGCATCTGACCCTGAAAGGTGACAACCTGAGCACCATGCTTCCCTCACTGAGTATGGTTGTGAAACATCCATCATGCAAGCTGAAGTTTCTCAGGTACATCTCCTCATCCCTAAAAGTCTGACTATGGAAAAGTATCTCAGGTCTTGTTAAATAGCAAATCTAAATTAGAAGGAAAGATTGCTTATTCTTCAAAAAAATACTACCACTCAGGGCACATGGACCAGAAGATGAACAAAGAATTCAGTCTTCATCTTCCCTGGCCTCTGAACAACCTAAACAACTGTGTGTGTGTGTGTGTGTGTGTGTATGTGTGTGTGTGTGTGTGTGTGTGTGTATACATGTATGTGTATATGTATATATGCCTGTATATATGTGTGTATGTGTTTATATGTATATATATATATGATCATATCATATATATATGTATATATAATGTGTGTGTGTGTGTGTGTGTGTGTGTGTGTGTGTGTGTGTATGAGACAACCCTGTGACCAAGAAACTCCTAGAATTGGAGTAATAACCCTATCAGGTAATGTGCCTGTGGTTGTGGTTATATTCTTCTTGGGTCATGATTCAGAACTTAAGCTTGAAGACCCCATCTTCCTTCCCAGCATGAAAGACTTTTCCAGAGTATCAGATAAGTCCTTCCCTGGCATCACCCTTGATTGAGATGGTCTCTCTTAGTGATACCACCACCCCATCCTATTATCCATGATTTGTTTTTGGAGAAGAAAGGGTTTTATCTCAGCTTAAAATTTACAGTCCATCATCATTAGAAGTAAGGGCAGGAACTCAGGCAAGAATCAGGAAACAGGAACTGAAGTAGAGGCCATGGATGAGTGCTTCTGGACCGTCCCACTAGAGGCTAGTCTGAGGCAGGAATTATAACATATATATATATATATATATATATATATATATATATTATAATGCTAATTAGACAAATGTTAAATTGCAAACAAGCTTCTTTTACATGTCAATCCCAGTTCCCTCCTTCCCCTCCTCCCGTACCCCAACCCCAATCTCCTCCCCAAGGAGGGTGATGCCTTCCATGGGGGAATCTTCAAAGTCTGTCATATCATTTGGAGCAGGGCCTAGACCTATCCATGACTAGGTCATCTTATGTCAATAGAGGGGCTACCATACATCCCATAATGACTTGGAGATGAGGTAAAAACAAGTCATGAGACAATTTGTAACTGCTGTCAATACCATCCATGCATCCATGGCAAATTATTTTCTGAGAAGATTATCAGGGAGGGAAAGTGTATTGTAGAATGATAAATAAGTGACTCAGAGACAGATACTGGGGTATAGGCTTCAAAATTGGAGATCAGAAAAGCAAAGCAGACAGCCACTAGCTCTTACTTCTACCTCAGCTCAGACCAAAGGGGCAATCCTCAGACTGCTTCCAACTTCACTGCTTCTCAGAATCACTCAGACTGCTATACTTTCCAAAATGTGGCTAGAGACTATACACATTCCTATCCTCAATGTGGCTGGAGAATGAATGCCAGCTCTGAGTCCTTGCTCCTGTCTTAAATGTATTCCTAATGCTGGGATTAAAGGCATGTGATCTCAGGTTCAAAGGCACGAGATCTATTACTCTTCATTCTGGTGTAGGCCATGGTGGCCTTGAACTAACAGAGATCCGTGTACCTCTTAATCCTGAGTCCTGGAACCACTGCCTGATCTCTATAGCTTGAGGCTGACTTTGCTTTCTGAATCCTCAGGCAAGTTTTAATAAATCATAAATAATATATCACCACAGTGTATGAATTGAAAATTTAGGACTCAATTTTCATTTTGAGTGGATAAGCTAATGCCTAAAATGAAAGGAAATTCCATTTTAAGTTCAATGTATGTAATTTTTGGAAGTAATCTGCAGTGCATATAATATACCAATGCCTTGATTTAATTTAGTTACATAGTTATGGTGTAGGCTCAGGGAGGTGCTTCATTATCTTTAGTACATTTTGACTGTGTGACAGATATCACAGTTTATACATTCAAAGTGAAGATACACCTTTTATTGCCAATGTAAAAAAATGGAGATAATAAAACTGTCACATGCCTATAATCATGGGATTGGGGAAGCTGAGGCAGGAGGACTGCAAGTTTGAGATTACATAGTGAGACCCAGTCTCACAAATAATTGAGGTTGGTTTGGTGGTACATACATTTGATCCAAGGACTTGGGAGGCAGAGGCAGGTGGATCTTCTGAATTTGAATGTAACCTGGTATACATAATGAGTTTGGGGCCAGTCAGGGCTATACAGACCATGTCTCAAATCTTTACCTACATATTCATAAATTCATTACAATACAATTAGCACTTCACTACTGCACATGGATGTGTGGCCATCCACTGAGGCATAGGCAACATACCAGTGGCTACCAAAGAAAAAGTACTTTTCCCTCCCGTAGGTGCCACCTACTGTCAATATCTCTTCAGCTAAGGGTGGGGCTAAAAGAACATAAATTTGGGAAGGAAATTTGTTGAGTTGGCAGGGGTGGGGATTAGTAGAAGAGGATGTGAATAAGATACATGTGGGTGTATGTGAAATATTAAAATAAAAATTTGAGACAGACTTTCACTGTGTAGTTATGGATGCCAAGAACTATGTAGACTAGACTGGCCTGGAACCCACAGAGATCTGTCTGCCTCTGCCTCCTGAGTGCTGTGAGAGGAAATTTAAACTTGGTTGAACCTAGGCAAGTAAACAATATTTTCATACTCAACTAAGAGAGGGAGACCACAAAACATCCCAAGAATATAAACATTCTGCCCTTGGACAGCTAGGAAGTAAAACATTCATTACTATAAAGGGAAAGAAAACTCAAAAGTTTATCCATGGGAAGCTCAACCAAGGAGAACAAGCTTGATCAGAAACAATCTGACAACTTCAAGTATCCCCAGTCAGTTTGTTAGATTTTTTTACAAGCCTGATTTGATGTTCTGCTGTCTCTTGCAATTAATTCTTTTACCCTGGCTCACTATGCACTCACTCAAACCTGGAAGAACAGCTCTTGTACATCATTCTATGGACCATTCAGAACATACTTTTCTCATTTCTCTCACAGTCTGAGTTCTTGTTCTACCACCATTCATAAATGGAATGAGTTCTTCTCAGCCCTGAAAGTCAGTCAATCCCTGACATGTCTGGACCTCACAGACAATGAACTCTTGAACAAGGGTATCTGGCTGCTGTGTAAGACTTGGAAGCAACCAAACAGCATACTGCAGAGGGTGTCGTGAGTATCTCTTCTCTTGCTGTGGAGCATCTCTTTGGAGTCAGAGCTGTAGAAAGGAGAGACATGGATGACACTATACTTACCACACAACAATCCATTTGAGTCTACCTGTGGATGCAGATAACTGCTTCTGATTTTTTTTGGGGGGGGCGGGGAGGAAAAAGTTTATTTCATCTTATACCTTAAAGTAACAGTCCACTGAAGGAAATCAGAGCAGGAACTCAAGGCAAGAACCTGGAGGCAGGAATGGAAACAGAGACTGTGAAAGAATGCTGTTTACTGACTTGCTCAGATTTTTTTTCAACTTTTTTTTTATTTCAATTAGAAACAGGATTGCTCCACAGGACAATCCCAGCTCCCCTCTCACACCCGTCCTCCCCTACCACACCCCCCCAACTAAAACCCTACCTATCACATATCCTTTCTGCTCCCCCTGGATGGTGAGGCCTTCCATAGGGTGTCACCAGAGTCTATAGTATCCTCTGGGATAGGGCCTAGGCCCACCCTGTGCACCCCAGCTCAGGGAGCAGTACCCTAAATGGAATGGGCTCCCAAAGTCCACACCTATGCCAGGGACAAGTACTGAACCTCCACATGAGGTCCCATAGATTTCTGAGGTCTCCTCACAGAAACCCTGGTTCCTGGGATCCGGATCAGTCCCATGATGGTATCTCAGCCATCAGCCTGGGGAGCAAGAGTTCCCCGATGTTCAGGTCAGCTTTTCCTGTGGGCCACACCAGCCTGGTCCAGACCCCTGTGCTCCCCACTCGTCCTTTTCTGCACCTGGGTTCCAGTTCAGCTCAGTGATTAGCTGTGGGTGTCTGCCCCTACCTCCACCAGCCACAGGACGAAGGCTATAGGATGGCACATGAGTCAGTCATCAATCTCACCATCAGGGAAGGGGGCCCAAGGCGGCCTCTCCTCTGCTGCCCAGATTGCCAGCTGGTGCCATCCCTGTAGATCTCGAGACATTGCCCCAGTGCCTGATTTCTCTGTAAACCAAAAATGTCTCCCTCTATTATATCTCCATTCTTGTTATCATTTATTCTTCCCCTGACTCAACCTTTCTGCTCCCTCATGTCCTCTGCATCCCTCCTCTTTCCCCTTCTCATTCTTCCAGCTCCCTCCCTCCCTCCCCCCTCTCCCCATGCTCCCAATTTGCTCAGGAGACCTCAACCCTTCCACTTTTCCAGGGGACCATGTATGTCTCTCTTAGGGTCCTTCTTATTTATTAGCTTCTTTGGCAGTGTGGATTGTAGGCTGGTAATCCCTTACTCTATGTTCAAAATCCACATATGAGTGAGTACATACCATATTTGTCTTTTTGTGATTGGGTTACCTTGCTCAGAATGGTTTCTTCTAGTTCCATCCATTTTCCTGCAAATTTCAAGATTCCATTGTTTTTTTCTTGCTAAGTAGTACTCCATTGTGTAAATGTAACACATTTTCTCTATCCATTCTTCAGTTGAGGGGCATCTAGGTTGCTTCCAGTTTCCGACTATTATAAATAGTGCTGCTATGAACATCATTGAACAGATGTCCTTGTTGTATGAATGTGCTTCTTTGGGGTATATTCTTGAGAGTGGAATTGCTGGATCTTGTGGTAGACTGATTCCAATTTTCTTGAGGAGTCGCCATACTGATTTCCAAAGTGGCTATACAAGTTAGCACTCCCACCAGCAGTGGAGAAGTGTTCCCCTTTTCCACATCCTCTCCAGCATGAATTGTCATTGGTGTTTTTGATTTTGGCCATTCTGACAGGAGTAAGATGGTATCTCAGAGTTGTTTTGATTTGCATTTCCCTGATGGCTAATGATGTTGAACACTTTCTTTTGTGTCTTTCAGCCATTTTAGATTCCTCTATTGAGAATTGTCTATTTAGTTCTGTACCCCACTTTTTAACTGGATTGTTTGGTGTTTTGGAGACTAGCTTCTTGAGTTCTTTGTATATTTTGGAGATCAGCCCTCTGTCAGATGGTTTGGTGAATATCTTTTCTCAGTCTGTGGGCTGCCGCTTTGTCTTGCTGACTGAGTCCTTTGCCTTACAGAAGCTTCTCAGTTTTAGGAGGACCCATTTATCAATTGTTGACCCAGTGTCTGTGCTACTGCTGTAATGTTCAGGAAGTGGTCTCCTGTACCAATTAGTTCAAGGGTATTTCCCACTTTGTTTTTAATAGGTTCAGTGTAGCTGGATTTATGTTGATCTTTGATCCATTTTGACTTAAGTGTTGTGCAAGGAGATAGGCTTGGGTCTAACTGCAGACTTCTACATGTCTGCAACCAGTTATGCCAGCACCATTTTTTGAAGATGTTCTCTTTGTTCTATCATACAAATTTGGATTGTTTATCATCAGGTGTTCATAGGTGTGTGGGTTAATATCAGGGCTTTCAATTCTATTCCATTGGTCTACCTGTCTATTTTTGTGCCAATACCAAGCTGTTTTCAGGAGTATAGCTCTGTAATAGAGCTTGAAGTCAAGGATGGTGATGCCTTCAGAAGTTCCTTTATTGCACAGGGTTGTTTTGGCTATCCTGAGTCTTTTGTTTCTCCATATAAAGTTGAGAATTGTTCTTTCAAGGTCTGTGAAGAATTGTGTTGGGATTTTGATGGGGATAGCATTGAATCTGTAGATTGCTTTTGGCAAGATTGCCATTTTTACTATGTTGATCCTACCTATCCAGGAGCATGGGAGATCTTTCCATTTTCTGGTATCTTCTTTAATTTCTTTCTTTAGAGACTCAAAATTCTTATGGTACAGGACTTTCATATTTTTGGTTAGTGTTACCCCAAAGTATTTTATGTTTTTGGCAATTGTAAAGGGTGATGTTTCTCTGATTTCTTTCTCCACCAATGTGTCATTGGTATATAGTAAGGCTACAGATTTTTTTTGGTTAATCTTGTATCCTGCCACTTTGCTGAAGGTGTTTATCAGCTGTAGGAGTTCCCTGGTAGAGTTTTTTGGGTCACTTATGTAGACTATCATATCTGCAAGTAGTGAGAGTTTGACTTCTTCCTTTCTGATTTGTATTCCCTTGATCTCATTTTGTTGTCCTATTGCTCTAGCTACAACTTCAAGGACTATATTGAAGAGGAATGGAGAGAGTGGACATCCTTGGACTTGTCCCCAATTTTAGAGGAATTGAATTGAGTTTCTCTCCATTTAATTTGATGTTGGCTGTCGGCTTGCTGTATATTGTTTTATTATGTTGAGGTATGTTCTTGTTATCCCTGATTTCTCCAAGATCTTTATCATGAAGTGGTGTTGGATTTTGTCGAAGGCTTTTCCAGCATCTAGTGAGATGATCATGTGGCTTTTTTCCCCTCAATCTGTTTATATGGTGGATTACATTTATGGATTTTCATATTTTGAACCATCCTTGCATCCCTGGGATGAAGCCTACTTGATCATGGTGGATGATATCTCTGATGTGTTCTTAGATTCAATTTGCCAGTATTTTATTGAGAATTTTTGCATCAATGTTCATGAGGGATATTGGTCTGTAGTTCTCTTTCTTAGTTGTGTCTTTGCGTGGCTTAGGTATCAAGGTTATTGTAGCCTCGTAAAAATAGTTTGGCAATGTCCCTTCTGCTTCGATTGTGGGAATACTTTGAGGAGAATTGGTATTAGTTGTTCCTTGAATTTCTGGTAGAATTCTGCAGTGAATCCATCTGGCCCCAGGGTTTTTTTGGTTGGGAGACTTTTGCTGACTGTTTCTATTTACTTAGAGGCCACAGGTCTGTTTAAGTTGCTTATCTGTTCTTGATTCAATTTTCGTAAGTGATATCTGTTCAGAAAATTGTCCATTTCCTTTAAATTTTCAAATTTTGTGTAGTATAGGTTTTCAAAGTATGACCTGAGGATTCTCTGGATTTTTTCAGTGTCTGTTGTTATGTTCCCCTTTCCATTTCTGATTTTGTTAATGTGCATGTTCTCTCTCTCTGCCTTTTGGTGCTTCTGATGTTTTGACTCTGCATCACACATTTTTCTCTTCTCATTCTTCATATTGGGAATTTTATACATGCAATTTGATAAATTCATTCCCCATTTTCTTTCCTCTGAATTCCCTCCATCCTCTGTCACCATTCCCCTCCAACTTCACATGCTCTTTGTTTAACCCCATGGAGTTTATTTACTGTGATGTGAAGTGTGGCTATCTATTGGAGCATGAGTTACCTCTCAGGAAGCAATCCCTGAAGAAAATTTGACTCTTCCTCCCCACAGAATCCATCAACTGCCAGTAGCTTCTCAGCTGTGGGATGGTACTATGAGCCCCTCCCTCATCAGTGCTGGGGTTTTGGCTGGCTTGGCCTTTTGAAGTTCTTATGATAGCTTTCCTCACTATAAATCCCTCATGTGATCGTGACTGTGTGATGGAATCAAGAAAAACTTGAGGATTTTACTTTCTCGAGAGAAATGGAAATCCCCTCTTCTGTTTTACTAGCAGTAGGATTTTTTGTTTGGGGTTTCTTGTCTTAGGTGGGATATATTTTTACAGTTTCATTCATGTGTATCATGCATATCAACACTCTTATTCCCAGTCTTTCCTCTTAACAAGTCTCTCTCATTTATATCTATTTGTTTTGTTTTGTGATCCACCAGAGCCATCTGTGACACTGTGGGTTTGGAGCCACATGTTGGAGCTTGGTGGGCTCAGCAAAAGAGACACAAATAAGGATAGTAATTCTGCTTTTCCCAATATCTATCCATATTACAGTTAAGAGGTAAAGGGTGGAGCACTGTGAGCCTCTCACCTTCCTAGACTGATTGTTGGTAGAGCTAGTCCTGTGTGGTCTAGCTGTGTGATTCATCCACAGGTTGGAGAACTGTCACCTCACAGAAGCCTGTTGCAAGGGCCTCGCTTCCGTTTTGATGGTCAGCCAGACTCTGACACACCTCAACCTGGCTAAGAACACTCTTGGAGATAATGGAGTAAAGATCCTGTGTGAAAGCTTAAGCCACCCTGAGTGTAAACTGCAGACCTTGGTGTAAGTCTTCTATGCCAGTAGGCACTGGAGGTGTATATGTGTGTGAGCACATGTGTGTGCATGTGAACTCAGGTAGGATACATATGAAACTAATTCATGATTATTCTAAGTACTACAAATATACCTATGATCCAGGCTAAGAATGATAGAAGAAATGGCATTAACTGTG